TCCTCCACCCCATCCGATGGGCCACCTGGGTACTCGAGGGCCACTTAAGAAGCTGATCCTCTGGGGTGGTGTTTCACCAAGGTCCAAAAGTGTGGAAGGGTGCTGTCTTGGCCTATTTTTCTGTTGCTATAACTGAATGCCACAGACTGGCTAATTTATTAGGAAAAGAGGTTCATTTGGTTCATGGTTCTGAAGGCTGAGAAGCTCAAGATCTGGTGGCCACGTCTGGTGAGTTCTTCCTGATAGTGGGGACTCTTTGTAGGCCACAGGGCACCACAAGGCAAGATAGACCGGCCAACCAGGTCTCTTCCCTTCTCATAAATGCACAATCCCATTGGATCAGGGTCCTACCCAGGTGGCCTCATTTAATCTTAATCACCCCTCTTAATGCCTCACAGTGTAGATTGAATTCCAACATGAGTTCAGGTGAGTCTACTTAAACTGTAATAGGTGGGGCATTGACCACAACAGGTGCCAACCCACAAGGGAGAATTTCAGCATGGCCCCGCCCAGATGGCCTATGCACCCCTTAGGTTTCTTCAACAAGTCTCCTGATTGTCCTGGGTTGAATAGCTTGCCTTCAAGTCCATGTCCTCCTGGGACCTCGGAATGTGGCATTATCTGGCTAAAGACTCTTTGCGGGTAAAATTGGTCAAGTTAAGAAGAGGTGGTACTGGCCAGGTGGGTGGCACAGGCCTGTTACCCTAGCAACTCAGGACGCTGAGGCAGGAGAGTCGCAAGTTGGTATCCCCCAAGGGTGGCTTGTGGCTAAAGGCCAGCTTGCCAGGGTGACACTATGGGGAGTGTGGGCCCTTTGGGAGGTGGGGCCCCCCATGGCAGGTCCTCAGGTCATTGGGGCCACAAGATAGTTCTTGTGCAAGCCCTTGGGTTCTCACGGGAAGATGTTATAGAAGGAGCAAGCCTGCCAGACACGATGGGGCACACCTGTCATCCCAGCAACTCAGGAGGCTGAGGCAGGAGGATCTTGAGTTCAAGGCCAGCCTCAGCAACTTAGCGAGACCTTCAGCAATTTAGCAAGACCCGTCTCAAAACTAAAAGGACTGGGGTTATAGCTCAGTGGTAAAGTGCCCCTGGGTGCCCAAGTATCAAAAATAAATACATAAATAAAAAGGAATAAGCCCTCCCCCACCTATCCTCTTTCTCCCTGCTCCTGGCATGGGACTGCTTACTCCTCCACATGCTCCCATCATGATGTGCTGCCATCCACCACCCTCCCCAGGGGTCAAACAAGGGCTGCCTGATCTTTGACTTAGAGCTTCCCAAACTGTGGGCTAAATGAACCTTTTCTCTTTATAAAGTTAACACTACTGGCATTTTAATATAGTCTCACAAAGCAGGTGCACCAGGAATCACTGTCTTAACAGCTTTGGACAGGTCTCTTTCCAGCCTGTTTTCTAATGTTACATTTGGGAGTCCTCAATTACTAGAAATGCTTACTTTTCACACAGACATATCATCAATGTTTTGTCCATGATTCGTGCTTTGGGTTCTGGTTTAAACATCTTCTGCTTTTGGCATTGGTTTTGGAGATTCTCCCTTTACATTCACGTGCCTGGCCCAAGAGGGGCACAGTTTTCTTTTTCAAGAAAAGTGTGACTCCCTGGCTGCCCTGAAACTCTCCCCCCAAAGCCATGTCCCCCCTCATTGCTGACCTGCAGGATCTCGTCACAGAGCATCCTGGACAGCCTGTCATGGTTATGCCGGCCCAGAGCCGAGGACCAGCCCAGCACAGCCTGGGTCTCAAAGTGTGTCCTCAGCTGACTGCTCCAAAGGGCCATGGAGTGAGCCCTGAGGGCCAGCAGCGGCAGCAGCCTGGAGACCTCTGCTGTGGCTATGTCTCCAGAGAGGAGGAGAGGAAGGAGGGAGGAGGAGGGAAGGACAGATCCTGTGGGTTGGGCTGCTGGGGGGGCCAAGGGAGAAGCGCTTGGGCAAATTCAGGCTCATTTTAAGATACTTGCTCTGCGGAGCCTGGAGAGATCCTCCTCAGTACCTCGGATGCCCAGCGGCCTCCATGGCTCCCATGATGCTTTGTGGGAGGAAGGCCCTTGGGGGTCCATGGAGGGCTGTGGTGTGGACCAGACACCTGTGCAGTGCCCGAGCTGTGGGGACAAGGGTCCTTGAGCTCCACCCCAGTAGTCCCAGGTCAGCCTCAGGCATCCACGAGCCAAGAGATGCAGGGCTCCTGGCCACTGCATCTAGGTCTGAGGGCCATAAGGTGCTCCTGACATCCAGGTGACCCTGCCACAGGTGCGGATGTTATGGACAGTGTGGCCCAGATGTCACAGTGCCCACAGGGAGTACTAGTCCTCCACCCCTGGCTACCTGTGCCGTTTCTGAGTCTAGCTCTGTTGGGAAATAAGCCCAAATCACGTCCCTGAGCAGGCTCCTGTGGACACCCTCAAGTCATCTGTCCTGAGCCTGCAGGATGTCCCTGATTCCATCCAGTTGTCCCATCCTGGCCTCTCTCTGTGGACGTTGCTCTGTGTGTGTGCGCACGCGCGTGTGCATTTGTGTATGTAGGGGTGTGTGTGTGTGTGTGCATGCTTATGTGTGCATGTGTGGGCATGGGCGTGCATGCGTGTGCATGTGTGTGCGTGTGTGCATGTGCGTGTGTGTGCGTGTGCGTGTGTGTGCATGTGTGCTTCTTCCTCCCTTGGTGTGTACCTGGACAGGCCTCAGGTGCTTTCTGGAACCAGGTGGATTCTGATGAATTCCCTGAACCATTCCTGCCATGCACCTGCTTAGGGCCACCCCCTTTCCACTTGTCTGGATGCACCTGGGCTTCCCTCGATGACTGGAATGAAGAGCAAGGGAGGATGGACAGACCCTGAGAAGAGCTGGACCAGCCCCCTGCTGGAGCAGGCCCCTCCGGGCATTCCTGAGGAGTGGGCACCTCCTCCAGGCCCAGCCTGCTGCTCCCTGGGAAGCTTGAGCTACCTGTTTCTTTGGCTCACTCAGCAAATCCTGAACAAGTCTCGAAGACAGAGCACTGAGCAGAGAGGGCCCTGTCTAAAGGAGCTTCCTCTCTGGTTGACAGCTCCGCACTGACCAGCCAGAAGAGGGAGAGACCCTCTGAGATGAGTAAGAGCTCCTGGGGGATGAGGGACATGGAGGGGACGGTGAAGGGCAGGCATGGGTTTGACTGCGGGAGGTATGGATGGGGAGAGTCGGGGGAGAATGTTCCAGACAGGCAATTGCATGCAAAGGCCCGCATTAGGGAAGCTCATGCACAATTCTAGTTTGAGGGTGTCTAGGTGTGGGAAGAAGTGGGTGGTGCTGAAGCTGAGCAGACAGGGGGTCCTCAGAGGGCAGCGTCGTCCCTAGCCAGGCTGGGCAAGCCGACCCTCGCTGTTATGAGGCCCCGTTTCTCTGGGGTAGCCAGGAAGAGGCTGTGACGGCGCAGGTTGCTTACAAGCTTCTGAGCTCAGGTGCCTGCAGGAGACTCTCCCAGGAGAGGAGGCTTCCCTGAGGCGTGTCACTCAGGCCTGACCACACTGGAGGTCAGGGTTCTGGGTGTGGAGTAACAGCAGGAGCCCAGAAGAGGACTTGATTGGCCAGGGAGAGGGTCAAGTGGACACAAGAGAGCATCCAAGGAGAGACCCCAAACCCATCATTTCAGATGCAGATGGTGGGTGGGAGAGACAGACGTGATCAAGATTCGTCAACAAATATATGAAAAAATGTTCAACATCTCTAGCAATTAGAGAAATGTAAATTAAAACTACACTGAGATTCCATCTCACTTCAGTCAGAATGGCAATTATCAAGAATCCAGGTAACAATAAAAATCTGGCAAAGATGTGGGGAAAATTACACTCATACATTGCTGGTGGGACAGCAAATTGGTGCAACCGCTCTGGAAAGCAGTGTGGAGATTCCTCAGAAAACTTGGAATGGAACCACCGTTTGACCCAGTTATCCCACTCCTCGGCATATACCCAAAGGACTTAAAAATCAGCATACTACAGAAACGCAGCCACATCAATGTTTACAGCAGCTCAATTCACAATAGTAAAGCTATGGAACCAACCTAGGAGCCCTTCAATAGATGAATGGATAAAGAAAATGTGGTACATATACACAATGGAATACAACTCAGCCATAAAAAAAACAATGAAATTATGGCATTTTCTGGTACATGGATGGAACTGGCAACTATTATACTAAGTCAAATAAGCCAGTCTCCCCAAACCAATGACTGAATGTTCTTTTTGATATGCTGATGCTAACACACAGTGTGGGGAGGGATAGAAGTTCAGTGGATCAGACAAGGGGGAATGAAGGGAAGGGAGTAGGGTGGGAACAGGAAAGACAATAGAATGAATCGGACTCCTAGTTCATGTATGCATCCACAACCAGTGTAACTCTACACCATGTACGATCCCAAGAATGGGAAGTTACACTCCATGTATGTTTCGGGTGTCAAGAGTCACTCCACTGTCATGCATATCTAAAAAGCGGCCAAGAGGCTAGAGAAGGAGGCAGGGTGCCAAGTGGAGGTGGGAATGGCATCTCCGAGGGGCTGCTGAGATGCCCAGGGGCCTCTTTCTGCAGGCCTTCCTCTCCCCAGGTCCTGTTCACCTCCTCCTCTCTCCTTCTCCCTGGGGCCCTTCTCTTCCAAAAGCTTCAAAGAAGTGCCAGGAACCTGCCCCTCGTGCCTCCATTTCCCTGTGTGGGGCGGAGGGAACTGGGCAAAAGTGACCTGAGGGAAGGAGCAGGACAGGTCTGGGGCTCAGCGGTAGGCCTAGGTCAGAGCTCCAAGAGCAGCTGACCCAATCCCCAAACCCAGGACAGGCACTGACCCTTTAGTAAGTCTGTGTAATCATCCGTCACTTGCCGGCTCCCCATCCCATAGAACTTGCCCCGCATACTGGGCTCTGAGCTAGGATGGGGTCTTAGAGCCGCGGTCTGGTGGAGGCACATGCCACAGTCCGGCTGGCCTGGGCGGGGGCGAGTGACAAGGAACTTGTGAAGATTGATACAGCGGGAGCCGCTTTATTGTAGGACAGCAAGGGTATATATACATAACTGAATACACAGCTTGTTTCAATTAACATCATCCAGATACATCAATCAGTCATCAAGGAATCCTCATCATCTTAATTACACACAGCTTAACTTAATTAACATTATCTTGACACAGCAGTCAGTCATTAAGGAATCTCTATCATCTTAATGGCTGAAACCACTCCTCTTGGCAAAGCGCCAGGCGCCATCTTGACTTGTCTGGGGCTTTCAAGAGGCACAGGTCTGCAGAGCGCCTCTGCTTGTGCCGGCAGGTGGGTGCTGCATAAGCTGCAGACCTCCTCTGCAGCCAGGAAGTGTTGCAGATCTTAATGGTGGACCGCGCCCTCCGGGGTTGCCGCAGACCCCAGCAGCTCTCCGCCCATCTTTCTTCTGGATTCTTATCTCCTGCATTCGAAAAATGAAATCTACAGAAGAGGATTTATTCGTATGTGAAGAATCCCCACAGGGCGAGAGGGGACCCCACAGGGATTGCCATCTGAGTGTGCTAGTCCAGGGGTTTACAGAGCTCTTGGGTCAAGGCTATGGTCCAACTTATGCTAATCAGGGTTTGGAAAGTACTAATGCTATTGCACCCAGTGTATGCTAATCAGGGTTTGGAAAAACACTAGTTATTGGTCCAAATGTCCACTAACAGGGTTTGGAAAAGTACTAGCTATTGATTAACCCTTGAGCCGAGCTTCCATTCTGGTCTGCCTTATTTCCGAGTTCTACCAGCCTCCCCGGGAGGTGGAGGTCAGTGAGTCTTGCATGCTCAGGGGTCCAAAGCTTCAGCGCTGCATGGAGCAGGTGTCTGCATGCACCAGGCCTGGATATCACCGCGGTATGAGAATCAGATCACAGTAGGGGTTTTTTTTTTAGGAGACACTTGGGGAGCCACTTGCAGCAATAGCGCAAGGCCCAGAGCCCCGTGGCACCATCAGCCCACAAAGTAACCAACCCTCTGGGCCACTGGAGCCTGTCACCGGCCCCCTCTGACCTCAGTCTCCTTCCCTGACATGTAACGACTCCCACATTCAAGCCCTTGGAGCCGAAGGCCCAGGTCCGGAAGTCTGACCGGGAGCTGTCAGCATGGAAGAGAAAGCACTGTTGGGTGCAGTGTTCAGTGTCACGGTGAAAACAGAAGCCACCTGCGTTTTCAACAGCAACAGGAGGGCCGTGTAAATGACGGGACGCAGCTGTGCTTTTTGAACAGGGTCCGTAAACGCAGACGTCGCAGGATACACTGCTGCTGGGACTTTGGCTGAGGCAGGGCAGGGAATGGAGCAGTGACTATGACCACGACCACATCACCAGCAAGCACGGGTCGGACAGCTTGGGACCAGTGGGACATGGAAGTAGTGAGACTGCCGGGTCTCCCTCTGCCACCCGGAAGCCCGTCAATGTCACCCTAATGGCATAAGGGCCTTCGTGTGCACCTACCTGTAGGTTGGAAATAGGTCTCCGGTGTGCGTGAGCTGTGGGGACAGGTGACCTGTGGGCCACAGCTGCTTGGGCAAGGAAGCCAGGAGCCTTGTGGTGGCTTCCCAAGGTGCACCTGAGGTGAGGTCCCCAGTGGGCAGAGCTCCCCAGGGGCAGCTAGTGAGCTCCCGGGAGTGAATCCTGCCCACATACAGGCCATTGAAAGGGACCAAAGTGGATCAGCCCCCATTAAAGAAACGGGGTCCTTTGAGGTGAATCACTGTCCCACAGATGGGAAAGGGGTCCTCTTCACTCAGGCCAGGCCTGGCCCAGGGCCCATTTCCTCCTTCTCTCCAACCTTGTCCCTCTGGGGGCAGCTCCCTCAGGTCCCCCACCCCCACACCACAGTTCTCAGGGACAAAGGAGGGGAAACCCCAGCTCCTGATCCCTCTGCACCTGGGAGGAAGTGGGAGGGGGGAAGGGCTGCAGGAGGCTGAGGGCTGCAGGAGCCCCCAGGTCCGTTTGCACCCGGGCTCTGGTCATGAGAGCCCCTGCTGTCCTGTGGCCTCCATTTGTCACACCCAGCTGTCCTCAGCTGCGTCTGGCCAGCAGTTCGCAGGGCCTGGAGAGCGACAGGCTGAGAAACGGGACAAGGCCTCACACCAAAGTGAGGGGTGAATCTCGCTCAGGGTCCCCGGCTCCATTTGTCCTCTCGTCCAGGTCCCAGGCAGCACCTGAGTGCCACCCCAGTGGCCTCTGCCTCAGCACCTGCTGTCCTGGGGCCTCAGAGACAGAGAGACAGGCAGGCCGAGGAGCTTCCGCAGACAGGCCGAAGAACCTGTCCTGAGGGTCTGTGCCTTTCTCCACCGCAGGTCCTCAATCCGCCTCACGCCACCAGTCCCCGCACGTGAGACGAACCTCACTGCACAGACAAAAACGTCCTCTGTGGGTCCTGTTAGGGTGAGGCTCTCCACCAGCTGCTGGTGGTTCCCAGTGTGGGAGAGACAGACAGACAGACAGCTGAGAAGGGGCAGGATGGAGTGTGTACCCAGGCCCAGGAGTGGAACCCGGGGGCCAGCAAAGGCCTCCCAGAGCCAGGAGCCTGGAAGGGCCCAGCACAGACCAGGCAGGGAGGAAGGCCCAGCAGGGGACCCGCAGGACTGGCTTCAAGTCCCCAGGCATGCTGTGCCCTGGCCCCTGCTTTCCCTTCACTCTGTGAGGTCTGTGTGGCCATCTCAGTTCACAGGTGAGAAAACCGAGTGTCCTGACAGGCGTCTGTACCCTGCAGCTGAGCTCGCTCCTTCCTGGGTACATCACAGTCCAGCTGAGTCCAGGGGGTGACTCAGGGACCAGGCTCCATCTGTCCTCTGGTGCCACGGTCTTTGCCCTGTGGCCTTCAAGGTGGCTGCAAAAGGGAAACTGAGGGGAGACGTTCTGGGCCGGGTGGCAGTGGGGCGACTCTCTTCACCATTTCTACCAGCTGGCTCCTCCCTGGTCGAGGGGGCTGGGAATGGGGTCCAATAGGTGGTCCTGACCGAGACCCTAGGAATATCAGGGGCTGCTGGCTGGCCCATCCCTGGGCCTGTGTCCTCAGTCTGAGGCTACCGCCTGCCACACACCAACCAGCTTGGGGACCTGGCAAGGAACGTTGGTGGCATCTGGGCTTTGTCCTGTGGGCAGTCAGGAGCCGCTAACCGGCCTTAATCAGGGAAGAGCCTCGGGCTAGTCTGGGCTTAGAAGAGATAAGGCTGTCTCCCAGGGCACCAGGAGCGAAGGCCGTGGGGGGCAGCCAAGGAAAACAGCCCCGGAGCTTGTCCCCGTGACTCAGAGCTGAGCCCTGGACCCTCCAGGGCTGTCCCCCTCTGTCCCAGCCCATCGTGAAGGCTCAGCCACCTGCACTGTCCCTGCAGGGACACTAGGCAGAACATGCCCACCCCACCCCAGGGGACAGCTGAGGAAGGCCACCCCGACTCTGGGCAGCGGTCTGCAGGGCAGACGTGGGGCCTTGCCGGCAGGGACAGGGGACCCACAACCCCAGCAGGCTTCTCAGGGCAGGGCCCTGCCTGGTAGAGCCATCTGGGAGACCAGGAGGTCAGCAGCTTCTGAGAATCTGCCCAGGTGCCTGCAGGGCCCAGGCCCTGGAGCTCGGCCCTGACTCTCCACCTCCTCCTCAGGGGCCAGCACGGCAGGTGCCCAGGGGTGGGCCAGGAGCAGGGCGAGGGCGCCCTGCCCCAGGGTAGAGCGTGGCGGGCAGGTGGGGATGAGGCCCTGGGTCTTGGCTCTTCCCTGGCTGGAGAGGACGTCCAGAGGCCCATGAGCCCAGGTGCGTGGGCACCATGCTTCCTGGATGTCTCCTGAGACCCTCCACGCTGCCTGGGGCTACCTCTCCCTCTCCGTCTCCTCCAGGCCCTTCCACACTTGGCAAGGGCACCTGGGGGTTCCCCCCACCCTCCTGACCCTGAAAGCTGCTGGCTCTCATCCTCGCTCCCCATCGAAGGTCCCCCAGGGAACTCCAGAGACCCCCATGACAGCGGCCCCCTTCCTGGTGCTGGCTTCGGTGTCAGAGCTCACCTCGCTCCTTCCCCTCATTCTCATGAGCCTGTGAGAACTGTGCCCACCCCAACCACAGAGGACGGACTGCTGCCCAGAGAGGGGAGGGAGCTTGCCTGAGGTCACACAGCAACTCCATGTAGGGTCAGACTACGAACTCATGGGTCTGTCATGCAAGAATTTCTGCCTCTTCCCTCCCCCTTGCTCACCTCCTTTCCACCCCCAGACTCCACTCCCCCTCCTGCAGCTTCCCCCTGCCCCCTTACCTGGGCAGAAGAGCTCAGGCCCAATAAGTCGCCGTAAATATCATGATGGGGCTCCTTGGGGGACATCCGTGTTTGTGGACAGAGCTGCCCCTCTGGCCGTTGTCCAGGGGAAGGAACCTAGAGTAGCTTCAAGGACACCACACTTCCATCTAGGGGGGCTGCTCCCCTGAACCTGAGGACCTGACCACACCCCACCACCCCCGTACACACCCTCCTGGCCCAGGCAGATGTGGCCAGAGACACCAGCAGGGGGGCTGGTGGCCAGGTGGGCCCTGAGGGAATGGCATTCGCAGGAAGATGGGCAGGGCTTTGACTAGGAAGGAGGCCTATAATCTCAGCAGCTCAGGAGGATCGTGAGTTCAAAGCCAGCCTCAGCAACTTAGCAAAGCCCTGAGCAACTCAGTGAGACCCTGTCTCTCAATAAAATACAAAATAGGGCTGGGGATGTGGCTCAGTGGTCCAGTGCCCCTGAGTTCAATCCCTGGTACCCCAAAAAAAAAAAAAAAACCAACCAGGAGCAAGAGAGATGGGGAGCTGTTGGGAGGCCCGGGGAGCCTTAGTGAGACTCTGCTCACGACGGGCACTTGGTCTATGAGGGCACTGCCGGCAAGCCTGTGCCTAGGTGAAGATTGCAAGTGTGTTATTCCTTGTTTTGTGTGTGCCGATGGCACAGCAGGGGATGGGAGTGACTGAGGATTGAAGTCAGTGCTCTACCCCAGGGCTACATCCCCAGCCCTTCTTATTTTAAGACCCGGCCTCACTAAGTTGCCGAGGCTGGCCTCAAATTTGCAATCCTCCTGCCTCAGGATCCCAAGCCACTGGGATTCCAGGCATGCGCCACTGCACCTGGTCATATTTTATTCTTTCACAGACAGCTTCCGTCCCTCTCTCTGGGTGTCATCCTAGGGGCAGAGGATCAGGCAGTTCTCTGGCAGAAATGGCCCCCGTGGCACTAGTCCTGCTAGAGACAGTCCAGGGGAGAGGCAACCTGTGGAGTCAGGGACCTGGGTGTGCATCCTGCCCTCTAGAGCTGTGTGTCCCTGGGCCAGTGTCCCTCCTCTCTCAGCTTCTGTCTGTAAATGGGTGGCCCGGGCAGCCTTGTGGGCTGGTTGAGGGTCCCACGCATAGAGCACACGCCTCCCCTGGGCGCCTGGCAACCTGGCACTCCCCTGCGCCTGCAGAGCCCGAGCGCCTTATGGGCATCTCCGCCTTCTACTTGCCATGGCCTCTCAGTCACTTTGGAAAGATGGGACTCTTTTGTCTTGGTTTCTGCAGCGGATCCTCCGATCCTCGATAAACCGCCACTTTTTTTTTTTAAATGATGCTGGGGAATCTTGCACCTGCTGAGCGTGAACCTCCCCACCGAGCCCCACCAGGCCCCAACCGTCCACATTTCTTTTTTTTTCATACCAACTCTTATTAGCAAAGAAATAGAATAAACTTCTTGACTTTATGCCCCCCCAAAAGTAGTTTTCCCATAAGAAAGGGGGAATATATAAAATGTGCAAAGACAATCCAGAATCAGAACAAAATTACAACGAACAAAGACTCGTTTTCCATTGGCCTGTCAATCACAGAACACTTACACAATTATATAAAAACTAAACCTGCCTACAGTTAGAAATACATCTTACCTTGCCATGGGGCCAAAGCACTTGAAAATGGATAGAGAAAAAAAATGTTACTAATTGACTTAAAAAAAAAAAACACCACCTATCAAACTCAGGCGCTATTGCTTAACGAGTTCAGTTACCGCTCTGCATAATAATGTCTCAGTCAACAATGGACCCGTACACAATGGTGATCTCATAACATTGTAATGGAGTTAAAAATTCCTGTCACGTAATAAACGCATAACTGAAGAAGAGGCAAGAGAGAAGAAATTGCCGAAGGAAAAGGAGAACGCCCCAAGAAAACTCGGTGAAAGGTTTAGTGGAAATTTTTGCAGACCTCAACGAGCTCCTTTAAAAGTTTGAGGGCTGTGGCTGTGGCTCAGTGGTAGAGCGCTCGCCTAGCACGTGCGAGGCCCTGGGTTCGATCCTCAGCACCACATAAAAATAAATAAATAAAGATATTGTGTCCAACTAAAAAATAAATATTAAAAAGAAGTTTGAAAATAGCACCAGGCTTGGTGGCACACACCTGTAATCCCAGCACCTTCAGAGGCTGAGGCCGAGGCAGGAGGATTGCAAATTGGAGGTCAGCCTCAGCAACTTGATGAGACTCTGTCTCAAAATTAAAAATAAAGAGGGCTGGGGATGTGGCTCAGTGGTAAAATGCCCTGGATTCAATCCTTGGTACCTCATAAGACAAAAGCTTGAAAACATGGACCCCAATTCCAAAAGGTTTGAATCAATGGGATTGTTCATGCTGCCTTTTCTGCCTTCAGGCAAATCTATAATGAAAAAAAAAAGAAGCAAACCTCAGTGACTGTATTTCTAAAAAGAGAGACCCCTTCTCGAGAAGAGCCTCTGGCAGTCCTTCAGGAGAGTTCTAGAAGAAGCCGGTGTCATGGAGACGATACTGCCCCGTGCAGTGCAGGCTGATGTGTGTTCGCATCTTGGTCTTTAATAAAATAAGTGAAAGGAAGAAAGATCAGAGAAAGTAAATACTTTCACATAGGTGTAAATTTCCAGAATTCCATGCTTTTATACAGGTGTACAGCATTCAAATTTTTACATTTCTAAACCGGAGACCATCCCCAGATGCTGAGGCTAACAGCTGTGAAATCATCTTTCTTCTTTGGTACTGACCCACATCCCAGCCCTCTTTAGTATTTATTTTGAAACAAGATATGGCTAAGTTGCTTGGGGCCTAAGTTGCTGAGGCTGGCCTTGAATTTGCCATCCTCCTGCCTCAGCCTCCCCAGGCTCGGAGGTTACAGGCGGGCCACCACGCCTGGCCTATGAAGTCACCTTTGATGTTGTCTCATGGCTAAAAGGCTCACCCAGCTCTGGCAAGTCCCTTACCCAGAGGTTCCTTCACCCCATCCTCTCTGTGCTCAGGGTCAGGACCAGAGCCTGCCCATGGCCAGCGTCCACTCTGTGTGAGCCACAGGGCACAGGGTGGGGTTCCTGCCCTCAAAGAGCTTCCACTCAAACACAAGAGGCTGACTTGGGGGACCCTCACCATGACAGCGGAGAGGACAGCCTCACTGCCACCAAGGAAGCACGGGAGGGGACAGGGATGGGTGACGTTGGCTGGGGGCCGACGAGTCGGAGTGGAAGTGAAGAAGGCGATGGCAAGCTGGAGTCTTCATTCCACGGCCTCCCAAGTCCCTCGGGCCGTAGCTGGGACACTGTGCCCTCCTGGTTCACAAGCTCGAACCTGGTAAATGATGTGGAGGCGAGGAGCCCGGCCCTGGGGTGGACAGGGGCAGGGAGAAGCCCGTCAGAGAGACGCTTCCAGAAGACGTCAGTGATAAAAGGGACAAGCGTCCCAGGCACAGGGAACAGCAGGGGCAGGGAAGGAGGCCAGGCTTCTCCAAGGGAGAAAACGCACTGTCAGCCCAAACCAGGCCGAGAGGGCAGGAGGACAGGCACACGGGCCCGGCAGGGAGTCGGGCGTCCAGAGAGACCCACGTTGGAGTCATCGATTTCCCACACGCCACCGGGGCCCCGGTGACCCAGACCCAGGGAGGAGGGACGGTGCTGTGACCTGTGGCTGCAGAGCTGAGCGGCAGCGGGTCCCGGGCCTCCCCACCCAGAGCTCAGCAGCCTCCTCAGAATGCTGCCCTGATGGGAGGCGACCGTGTCCTTTCAAAGTCCTAAAAGGACATCCCGCCTGGGGACCCAGGAGGGCAGGAGAGTCCACCTGAGGTCTTCGGGGAGTGGGCAAGAGGGGTGGGAAGGACGCAGGACGCACGCTCAGCTCAGAGGCACCTGAAGAAGCAGGGACCTGATGGGGGACACACTCTGTCACCAGGATACGGGGTCCAGTTCAGGCGGAGGAGGGTCTTGGAGAATGAGCTGCTTCCCTCAGAGGGAACAGAAAGATCCAGAAGGAGAGGGGTCCAGGGTAGGCAGCCGGACAGAGCAGGTCCTGGCAGTCCTGTGTGGCCACGGGCCCTGATCAGTCCCCAGACCTGCAGCTGCTAGAGGGGGGACAGGGCTCACCTCCCAGACCCCTCCTGGGGGTCTCCGCCTGCCACCAAGCCTGCAGGGCCCTCAGGAACCAGGGAAGGAGGAGGGAGGGCCGGGGAGCGCAGCAGGACCTGGTGCTGTGGTCCCCACCCTCCTTGTCCCCGTGGTCCCTTCCCCTGGCCTGAAGAGGCTTCTGTCCATGAGTCTGAGTTGTTAAAAATAACCTGCCTCTTCATCATCCCGAGAGCCACGCTCTGGGACAGTGTGTTCCAGGCCTGAGCCAGTCTCTGGGGACTGAGCAGTGGGGCCAGAAGGGCTGCAGATGCGCCTGCCCCTGCAGAGCTCCGTGCCACACCTCGGTCCTGCTGCCCCTGAGAGCCTGGGAGCTGAAGCCAGGCACAAGCAATACCAAATCCTGGGGGCTGTGGTGACCTGAAGGCACCTGCCATAGGGTCCATGGGCCTCTCCTGGTAGCCTGGCAATCAAGAGGACACTGTGGCTACCCAGGGCCACATGGTTTCCTCTTCTGATTCCCAAAACTATCTCTGGCTGAGACTGCAGGGAGCTTTATAGGAGTCAGGAGAAGGAGGGACTTGGATACACATGGAGCCTGTGTCCTGGTCCACGGTTGTCCCCTGCACATAGGAAAGAAAGAGGGTAGTGGCAGTGCTCAGGGAGGCAAAAAGACCTGGGTTCAAATCCTGGCACAGCCCTATTACAGTGTGACCCTGAGAAAGTTACTTAACTTCTCTGGGCCCTCATTCTCTCATTGATAAAAATAAATAGATGCTCAGGGTCCCAATCTTGTAAGGTCACAGTGTGGCCTAAATGAATCTAAGATGTTCCTAAATGCAG